TACGGTATAGAAAATCGTGTTTTTAAGTGAATAACGTAAAGCGAAGAAAATGGTCAAAAACCCAGTATTCTGCCCATACATTCCCTTAGAAATGCTTTTTGCAGGACAGGGAAGGACTTGTACTACGAAATCTTGAATTTCTCTGCTTCTACATCAGCTAGAGGCATAAATTAAAAAGTTTATTCAAATTTCATCATGTAGTATCTTATCCAGACAGATAGATTGCTGATAACCAGAGAAACGAAAGAGGACAAAGTCATCGGTTGGGGTAGTTGCTAGCCTCATGTATATTCACGGCCCTGATAGAAGCTTGGAGATTCAAACTTATAAGAGTGCATCCCTTGTTTTTTGTTTAGTGGAGGAAAATAAAGAAATAGAAATATCAATAACTGTGCACCTCTTTCTACGATCCCAACTAAGTTTAATTATCCGCGAAAAGTATATTAATAATTAAAAAGAATCTTAGAAAACCGACAGCGCAGAAGTACATATCAAATAAGTTGAGCATTCCTGAAGTGTGTTTATAGTACAATTGACATCAGGCTACGAGCATTTCAGTATAAAATTTTGAATAATGATCTCTACCTTAATAAAGACCTCTATAAATTTAAATTTAAATAAATATAAATTTAGTAGATTCGCTAAACTTGTCTATTGAAACAATAGAGCATTTCTTCGTGGGATGCTCTCATGCAAAGGATTTCTTATTTAACGTGAAAAATTATGAAAAGTAAATATAAAACTACCACAACTAAATAAAACGAAATGTAATATTAGGAAGGAAGGAAAATACAGTGGAAGAATTTCTTTTCTTGTTATATAAGTATGTATTGTATAGTAACAGAACTAGAGGCTCTACTCTTAATGTCATAGTATTCAGTGGCGGATCCAGGGGAGGGGTGCAAAAGGGTGCGCACCCCTTCCTGGTTCAACTCTGTGCCCCTACTTCGAAGATAACCCATGCAAAATAATGTTTTTTTCCTTTGATTCTAAGGGGTGCACCCCTCCCTGGGTTAACCTTGTGCGCTGCACCCCTCCCTTAACAAAATCCTGAATCTGTCCCTGGTATTTAAAATGAAGTTAATGGAATATTTTTAAAAATGGAACATAGCATTGCCAGAAAAAATGGTAAATTACAGTCCCATGTAACAAAATATAAACAAATCCAGGAACTTTGAATCAATTCAAAGAATAAAAGCTCTTAGTCTTACTGTTAGTATTAGTATTATATGTCGTATTAGTCAAATGACAAAAGACAAATGGATGGAGGGGATACAAAAAAAAAAAGGACATTTCTCAATAAATGAATCAACGAATTTCAAAATCATTTTGGGCTCCCTGTGGTTCAACATATCCATTGATCGCTGGCTCATATGAAGTTATTCAAAATGGCGGACGCACATAGAGTTCGAGTTGATCCAATTGAAAGAATACAAGAAGAATATCAAGCTTGGAAAAGATATCATCCCAAAGTAAGCTATTGGATTGGCATTATAAATGATTCATCTTTTAATCTGGACTATCATAACAGCGACTCATTCACAATTTTATTGCGATTTAGTTGATTTTGGCGCCATTTTCAAAACGTGGTTGTCAAAAATGCAGTCAATTAAGGAAATATTTGGCGTTGGAGCGTCAAGATATAAACTAGTATATGAAATAATTCAAACACATTATTATTTTTCTAAATTATCATATCAGGATTTTATTGCAAATCCTTCAAAGAAAGAAGATGGATCTACTGATTGGCTCACGTGGAAGTGTGGTAAGCAAAAGTGTATTTTTACTCATTACTTCAAAAGACAACAAGATTGACAGACTTCAATACCATTATTGTTGAAGTGCGACCCTCAATGTTTCACGTCTGTGTGCAACCAGAGGATAAGATGAATAAGTATATGTAATAGCAGGGCTGTCAACCCCCGAGATATTCAAATCTGGAGAACTGATAGGGAAGGGACATGACGTCACACCGCGTCAAAAAGCGCGCAAAAAGGCGTCTTTCGCTTTGTAACATTTGATGTGATTGGTTTATTTCTGACCAATCAGATTATCGCTTATATTACAATGGCCTACTTGCAAGAACAGTGTTTATGAGGAACGTTTTGATTTTTTTAGCGATGTAAAATAACACAAACAACATGAAATAATTGGAATTTTATGG